AGTTGTTGCCTGTTATTTTGGACAGGGAGCAAAAGGCCAGCTCTGCACAATGTAATCCAGGGAAGGAGTACCACTTCCACTCTCTGATTCACCTCAGCAGACTACCCACAGGGGACACAATCAAATAAAATATAACAAAGCGGAGGCTTAGTTCAAGAAGTTTGTAAATCACGCAGGGCGCAGGGAGGGGGGTAATTAGAGACTGTGTGCAGTACGGTAAGGTGTGAGGGGGGGAGCTCAGGTTGCAGGGAGTGAATAAGTAGAGAGCTGTGTGTGGGCAGGTTAGCTCAGAGTGCAGAGAAGGCATAGTTAGGCGCTGTATGCAGTGAGGGGTGTAGCTCAGGGTGCAGAGACAGGAAAAGATGAGGTTTGGGGGGCAGGAGTGTAGGTCAGGATACAGGGGGGATGTTAGAGACTGTGTACAGGTGGGGGTAGCTTGGGGAGCAAGGCGTGGGTACTTGGAGCCATGTGCAGTGAGAGGTGCAGCTCAGGGTACAGGACGGTGTAGTTAGGGGTTTTGTGTGAGTGCGCAGGGGTAACAGTGCAGAGAGGAGATAGTTGCTGGGTGTGGGCAAGGGTAGTTCAGGTTGCAGGAAGGCTTACCTAAGGGCTGTGTATGAGCAGGGGGCATAGCTCAGGGTGCAGGGCGGGAGTACTAGAGATTGTTTGCAGTGAGGGCTGTAGGTTAGGTTTCAAGAGAGGGTGAGTAGTGACTGTGCAGTGAGGGGTGTAGCTAAGGGTACAGGGAGGGAGTACTTAGGTGCTATATGTGGATGGGGCATGGGTCAGAAGGCAGGGAGAGGGTAGTTACGTGCTGTGCAGTGATAAGTGTAGTTCAGATTGCTAAAGGGAGTTGCTAGTAATTGTGCAAGCAGGATGGGAGCTAGCAGCTCCATGTTGTGAAAGGGGTCATTCAGGTTGCAGGCAGGGATAGCTAGGGGTTGTGTTTGAGTGGGGGAGTAGCTCAGTGTTCAGGGAGGGGGTATTAGAAATTGTTTGCCATGAGAAGCATAGTTCAGGGTGCAGGGAAAGGAGTAGTGGGGTTTTATGCTGGCAGGGGGGTTGGGTGCAGGGATTGGGTAGCTAGGGGCTGTGTGCAATGAGGGGTGTAGTTTAAAGATGCAGATAAGGAATAGTGTAGGGGCTGTGTGCAGTGTAGCTTGGGTTGCTAGGAGCTATGTGCCATGAGGAGTATAGCTTAAGGTGCAGGGAGGGGACGTAGTTAAGGGCTATGTACAATGAGGGGTGCAGCACAGGGTGCAGGGCGGGGAAGTAATTAGGGGCTGTGTGTGTTGGAAGAGGGGTTGGTGTAGGAAGAGGATATCTAAGGGCTGTGTGCAGTGAGGGGTGTAGTTCAGGGTGCAGGGAGGGAGTAGCTATGGGCTGTGTGCAGTCAGGGCATAGCTCAGGATGCAGGAGGATATAGGTAGAGGCTGTGTGGCAGGAGGGCTCCCCCTGCCATGGCTGCTCCCTGAAGGCTGTGCCACCCCAAAGTTTCCCAACCCAGGTAGCTCTTAGCAGCTATATGAACAGTCAAAGGGGTCTGGGAGCTGAGGAGTAGCCACCACCTCAGGCACCCCCAGCAGCACAGATGGGGAAATGCTACAACTGCCTGCTCCGCAGCTTCCCAGAGCCAAAGGACCAGCTGCCCAGCATTGCCTGGCTCCAGCTTCCCACTTACAACCTGGCCAGAGAGCAGGGACTGGGGGAGATGAGGAGATAGATGAGGGGGGAGCTATACTTAGGACTGCCCCACTCTACATAGGGCACTGCAGTTTGGGGGAACAACACCCTTCTATCCATCCCAACTCTGCCCATGGACTCAGGGCTTCTGCCTGGAGGGTGCACTGGGGCTCAAAGCTTCAGCTCTTGGTCACTCCCAGCTTCAGGCCAGGGGCATTGGAGCTTCATGCTTCTAACCACTCAGTGCCAGCTTCAGACTGGGGTAGGCGGCACCAGAGCTTACCCACTGCTCCTTGCTTCAGATGGGAAGAAGGGGTGGAGCTGGAGCTCCCACTTTCTGCCCTTTGCCACTCCCAGCTTCTGAGAACGAGGAGCAGGCCTGACACTATCCAAGGGTATGTCTACACTACCCCGCTAGTTCGAACTAGCAGGGTAATGTATGCATACCGCACTTGCAAATGAAGCCCGGGATTTGAATTTCCCGGGCTTCATTTGCATAAGCGGGGAGCCGCCATTTTTAAAACCCCGCTGGTTCGAACCCCATGCAGCGCGGCTACACAGGGCACGAACTAGGTAGTTCGAACTAGGCTTCCTAGTTCGAACTACCGTTACTCCTCATGAAATGAACTAGGAGGGTAGTGTAGACATACCCCAAGAGAGTTGCTTGTACTACTTTTCTCCAACACATCCAGGCCTGGAACTTTACTGGCTCATTTCAGAAAAAAATGGAGGCAGAGCCATTGAAAAGTAGTTTCAGGTGAGGAGTTGCAAAGAAGGCTCTTTCATTATGTCCACATTTCACTCTTCCATTATGTCCACATTCTTTGAGAACTTGCTGTTGGTCCTCCTTTTGTAGAAAAGTAATGTTATTGGTAGCACAAGCCAAACTGAACTGAAAACTAATTTCCAGCCTAGTTTTAACACTTCCTGAGTAAACTGAAGAAAAACAGAACAGCCTACATTAAGATGGTAAGGTGTTCTTTCTGTTGCAATGTTTCTAGAGAGAGCTTATTGAGCATTTCAGGTTCTGAACTGTCCTGGTTATGGATGTTAAATGTACTTGCAGAACATGTGAGGTCATAGAGGATGTGAATGAAGATGAGAAGATCTATCACATTACATCTCCATCAGTGAATGGCGATAACCCCAAAGATTTTGTAGTTCTTGTGTCGAGAAGACAGCCCTGTAAGACTGGGTGAGTACAAGCATTTCAAGTTTGACTGATGCTAAACCTACAGCATTATAATTCTTGATTCCCATGCATATACAGAAAGCAGGCCCAAGAATTGTGAAGATATTATTGTATCATACAGGAATTTGGATGGACGTCTGGTTTCTTTAAAGAAGGAATGTAGGAACAGGTTAGAAGCATAAATATTAGCACACAAGGTGTTCAGTGTTCTATCTTTGACAATAGTCAGTAGTGTCTGGTACCAGAAGGTACTAGAATCCCCTGAAATGGATAGTTTGAAATAGGAGGATTCTGTTCCTAATTTTCTTTGTAGCCTCAGGCAAGTAAAAATTGGTTTCTGGTCTGAAGCATGAAGGTTCATGTATTTTATTATCCTATCTAATATAACTTCAGAAGTTCCTACTATCCATCTAAATGATAGAGCCTTTTTGGAAACCTGCTATTTTCTTGGACTCTGTGATAGCTAGTGGCAGTAAGTTCCACAAGTAATCTTTTTTGTTAATCTTTTGAACGGTTTTACATTTATTTTCTTTCACTTTCATCGAATGCTTCCTTGTTCTAGTATGATGAGACTCCTCAAATAAGACCATTTGATATTGGATGCTAGCCATTGTTTTATATCCTTGGTCACGTTCCCGCCATTGCTGTTCAGTAACTTTGCATCTGCATTCATATAGCAGTGATTCCCAACCTTTATTATGCCAGGCACCAGCAAACCCATTCACAAACTTTTGGCAGACCAGTAATGTTTTATTTGCATACTCATTATACAAATAATGAATATGTAAATATGGTGTTACCTGATCACCTAGCCCCAACCCAGCCCATTGCTCCCTAGTGCCTAAGACCCTTTAACCCCCATCCCAATGCTCCATGCCCTTTAACCCTTTAACCTCTGACCCCAACAGTCCATGCTAACACCCTCTTGCCCAGTGACTCACCACACCCTCACCCAAATTACAAAGGATGAATATAAGCAAACAATACAGATATGCAGGGGCAAGATTAGAAAGGCAAAGGCACAAAACGAGCTCAAACTAGCTACAGACATAACGGGAAACAAGAAGACTTTTTATAAATACATTAGAAGCAAGAGGAAGAGCAACAACAGGTCTTGCTCAATGAAGAGGGAGAAACAGTAACAGGAAACTTGGAAATGGCAGAGATGCTTAATGACTTCTTTGTTTCCATCTTCAGTGAGAAGTCTGATGAAGGAATGCCTAACATAGTAAATGTTAGTGGGAAAGGGGTAGATTTAGAAGATAAAAAAAAAGATCAAATTAAAAATCAGTTAGAAAAGTTAGATGTCTGCAAGTCACCAGGGCCTGATGAAATGCATCCTAGAATACTCAAGGAGCTGAGAGGAGAGGTATCTGCGCCTTTAGCTATCATCTTTGAAAAATCATGGAAGACCGGAGAGATTCCAGAAAACTAGAGAAGGGCAAATATAGTGCCCATCTATAAAAAGGGAAATAAGAACAACCCAGGAAACTACAGAACAGTCAGTTTAACTTCTGTGCCAGGAAAGATAATGGAGCAAGTAATTAAGGAATTCATCTGCAAACACCTGGAAGATAATAAAGTGATAGGTAACAGCCAGCATGGATTTGTAAAGAACAAATCATGTCAAACCAATCTGAGAGCTTTCTTGGATAGGGTAACGAGTCTGTGGATAAGGGAGAGGTGGTAGATGTGGTATACCTAGACTTTAGTAAGGCATTTGATATAGTCTCTCATGATATTCTTATCAATAAACTAGGCAAATACAACCTAGATGGGGCTACTATAAGGTGGGTGCATAACTGGCTGGATAACTGCTCTCAGAGACTAATTATTAACAATTCACAATCCTGCTGTAAAGGCATAACAAGTGGGGTTCCACAGAGGTCTGTTTTGGGACCGGTTCTGTTCACTATCTTCATCCATTATTTAGATATTGGCATAGAAAGTACACTTAAGTTTGCAGATGATACAAAGCTAGGAAGGGTTGCAACTGTTTTGGAGGATAGGGTCATAATTCAAAATGATCTGGACAAACTGGAGAAATGGTCTGAGGTAAACAGGATGAAGTTTAATAAGGACAAATGCAAAGTACTCCACTTAGGAAGGAACAATCCATTTCACACATACAGAATGAGAAGCGACTGTTTAGGAAGGAGTACTGCAGAAAGAGATCTGGGGGGTGGGGTCATAGTGGACCATGGGCTAAATATGAGTCAACAGCGTGACACTGTTGCAAAACAAGCAAACATGATTCTGGGATGCATTAACAGGAGTGTTGTGAGCAAGACACAATAAGTCACTCTTCCACTCTACTCTGTGCTGATTAGGCCTCAGTTGGAGTATTGTGTCCAGTTCTGGGTACCACATTTCAAGAAAGATGTGGAGAAATTAGAGAAGGTCCAGAGAGGAGCAACAAGAATGATTAAAGGTCTAGAGAACATGAGAGATGAAGACTGAAAGAATTGGGTTTGTTTCGTTTGGAAAGACGACTTGAGAGGGGACATAATAGCAGTTTTCAGGTATCTAAAAGGGTGTCACAATGAGGATGGAGGAAAATTGTTCTCCTTGGCCTCTGAGGATAGGACAAGAAGCAATGCAGGCTTAGGTTGGACATTAGGAAAAACTTCCTGTCAGGGTGGTTAAACACTGGAATAAGTTGCCTAGAGAGGTTGTGGAATCTCCATCTCTGGAAATATTTAAGATCAGGTTAGACAGACATCTATCAGGGATGGTCTAGATGGTACTGGGCCCTGCCATGAGGGCAGGGGACTAGACTCGACCTCTCGAGGTCCCTTCCAGCTCTAGTGTTCTATGATTCCTCTGGTCCTCATGCTCCAGGACATCGGCCTTCAGCGCCTCAGTGTGTTTATGCTCATCTCCTGTAGTGCCCAGGAAGTACTGATAATCCAAATTAGTTCACTGAATAGCTCATGTCCCAGAAAAGAGTCCAGCTCTTCATTAAAGAGGGAAGTGGTTGGAAGCAGTGTTCCCTCTAACATTTTTTATCCTTGGGTGGGCTGATTTTTCTTTGGGTGGGTTGAATTTTCTTATTTGCACCACCAATATTGAGTGTATCAATGTACACCACCAATACAAACAAAACACACATCTGAAGTGGGTTGGGCCCACAAAAGCTCATGACACCATCTACATGTTTGTTAGTTTCTAAGGTTGCTGCAAGACTATTTGGTTTTTTTTGTTTAAGTTTTTCCAGATATAGACTAACCAGGCTACCTCTCTGAAGCTTTTCAAACACAGAGTGTGTGTGTGTGTATGCACACACACATGCACATATCATTTATACATATATTTTAAGCAGTCCATACATGTGGAATAAAATGTATATTAAAACAAGACACTTGTGACTAGTTGCTGTGAAGTACACTCAGTGACTACAAAGATGCTGTACAAAGGTGGGAATTAGCCTTCTTCCATTGGAGGAAGAATAGAAGCCCCAGAACAAATTAACATATGACTTCATGGTTAGTAGACATTTACATGTTTCAAAGAACTTGCAAATAAGGTTTCATCCTACAAAACAACTAGCATCTCACCTAGTACTTGCCACTTCTGACTCATAAAAGCCAGAACTCTACCAGGCTGTATCTAGACTGCAGAATTCCTTTTTTTCTAAAAAACTTCACCTGCGTCTAGACTACAGCCACGTTATTTCGAAATTAAATCGAAAGAACGCGGCTTTTCTTTCGACGGCGGTACTCCTCATTTCACGAGGAAGAACACCTTTTTTCAAAAGTGCTCTTTCGAAAAAAGATGTTCTTGAATGCAAACAAGGCTTTTTCGAAAGAAAGCATCCAGACTGCTTGGGTGCTCTCTTTCGAAAAAGCAGCTCACTTTTTCGAAAGAAGAGGTTGCAGTCTAGATGCTCTCTTTCAAAAGAAGCTTTTTCGAAAGTATCTTTCAAAAGAGGCTTGCAGTCTAGACGTAGCCCCAGATAGCAAAGATCTGGCCTTAATGCAACACAATTTACCATGTATTACATAGTTTCCCCCAAGCCAATTGATTACTTTCTCCCTCCTCCCAGCCACTTATTCCCTGTTTATCTCAGCTGATTGTCTTCTGTTTCAAGCATGTGGCAGGCAGCATTTAGCTGTTTACTGAGGCCCTGTCCCCGACGATCAGCTGATCTCTCTGCCTGCGCAGGGAGCTTTGAACCTCTGCACAGGGCTCAGAACATAGCAGCTTAGAAGGAACTTTGGTTAGAATTGTGGTTATTGTCCTAAAACTTTGTTTTTCTCTCCCTACAGTGACCCTTACATAATAGCAGTGAGGTCAGTTACTCTGACAACTGTGCCACCTTCTCCAAACCATTGCAGAAATGAAATCCGATCTGCAGGATTCCTGATCCAGACTGATGACAACAACTCCTGTACAGTAAGCAACTTTACAAATCACAGTAGTATCTGCTGTCTCTTCCACACTACATGTGCTTAAATCTCAATGATAATCACTATCTGAAACAGGCCAATGACACAAAGGAAGAAATCACTTGATTTCCAAATTTGTTTAAACACTTGAATTCCTATAATTTAACATATTAAAATTCATAAGTATGACAGACTTTGAGAATAAAGAATGTCTGTGTACACTTTGAAGTGAAGGTTACTCTATAGGAACATACTCTTCTGAAAATATTTCCTAACTGGTCTAAGGAGTCACTTTTTTGCCAACATTTGTGGTACTAAAACAAACATATTTAACGAGTTAGAGATGATGGATCAAATTCTGCTCTCTGCTACATCTGGTATATACATTTAAGCAAGTATTTGAGTAGCTAGCCAATGTGGGGACATTAAGATCATTAATATACTTTTTAAAAGGTGATTATTTTCCAGTTAATATTGCCTTCACCATGCTTTTTAGTATTAACACTAAGCAACTGATGCTGATACTAGTTCTTAGAAAATGACCCTCATGTTCAAGTTTTGAGTTTTTAATTTTTGTTACCCAGGTGTCTTATTTTAATCAAGTTACCGCTGGTGTTCTGCCTTATCTTGCTGCAAATCTCACTGGCTCATCAAAATCCATTGAGGACACTGCTTTTTCGTGCATCAAGTTTTTGGAGAAAGAAGATAGCAAGAATTACAATATTTTAAGTAAAATATCAGGGGAGCTCTAAAGATTATCGTAAAACATTTTTAAGTGCTGCATGCTGACATGAGGATTCTCAATATCTACATAATCTACCAGACTGAAACATTTGAGCGACACAGTTCATTTCAGCCCTGATCCTGAGAGTATTTGAGCACTTGCAACTCGCACTGATTTAGGAATTATTGATTCATATTTTTAATTTTAAATAGAATGGGGACTATTTCTTATTAATACCTCTCACTTGAATTTGATGGAGTTGCCCAGGCATAAACGAGGGCATAATTTCTTACCATTGTGGAAGGGCCTCTAAATTCAGGTTTAAAAAGCTGGTCTTTAGCAATGATATTGAATCTTATACAGGCTTTGGAAAGTGCTGTGAGATCTATTGATGATGACTGCCATGGAAGTGCTAGGTGTTAATAATATGATAGCTTTGCAGATAGACAGAACAATAAATAATAATGATGAATAAACAATCTGGCCCATACTAAATTATAGACTTAAAGGCATGATGGTTTCAGAGGCTTTTTTGTATTAAACTGCTTTGATTAAAAAATGATATAGTGCTGGCAGTTAGACCTTATTGTGAATTAATATCTTTAGATGGATTTAAAGAATAAAAGTTCAGGAATCATGTTGAAGTACCTCAGGGTTGCATCAGAGGTTCATGGTTTGGTGTATTCAGTCTTTCTGAGCAGCTAACATCCTATCCAGCTCCTCCTGAAGTCAATGGAAGGACTCCATTGATTTCAACTAGAAGCACATTAAGCCCTGAGGAAAACAGAGGTAGTGTTTGTTACTTTATCTCTAGCCTCAGCTCCTCCGTTACAGGTAACAGAGATGGCTGGGAGGGACAGAAATAAGAGGGAGCTGGTTATTGCTCCCTGATATTCATCCAACTTTATGCCCCAAACAGTAATCATTTTCTTTCTAAGTAGCCCTCCCTCTCTCCTCCTCCCCCAAACATTCTATAAAACAGGGGTCAGCAACATATGGCACATGCCATAAGTGGCACGCAAGATGATTTTGAGCAGCACGCGCGATGAACATGCTCCCCCTCGCTCCCTTCTCCACCCAGAATGGGGAGCCATGCTGGTGATCCAGCATTGCGCCCCTCGCAAGATTGAAGCCAGCGCCAGCTTCCTGCAACGGGGGAGAGCCCCAAGGTTCAGCAACGAATTCAGCTTGTGGGGAAGCATGCACACAGCTCCTCTCCTCCCCACAGGAAAAGCTGGAGCAGAGCCCAGGGTAGAAGACCAAGCAGGGTGCATGGTGGAGAGTGCCCCTCCCCTCCTCCCAGGAGAGTGGCGCATCTTAGGATTAAATCTTGGCATGCCACTTTGGAAAGGTTGCTGACCCTTGCAATAAAAACTCCAAAGCCCTCCCGTGCCACAGCAACTCGTTTTCTGCATATAAAAGCCTGATCTAGCACTAGGCAAACATGGCAGTTGCCTCTGGCTCCACACCACAACACTCCTCTGGAGCTAAGCTGCTCAGGCTTTTTATTTAGCCCCATGTGGCAGAAGTCAGGGCCACAGGCTTCAGCCTCATCTGGTAGGGCTGTGGCTTTCTGGCCTGAGCCCCAGCAAGTCTAATGCTGACCCTGCTTGAAGGACCCCCCTGAAATCTGGTAGCCCCCTGGTTAAGAACCACTTGTTTAGTGCAACCATTGGGTTGACTCATAGTGGGCTTGCTCTGTAACTTGAGACCCTCTGTAACTTGAGACCATTGCTCCTTGTTCTGCCATCTGTCACCACTGAGAACTGCCTCTCTCCATCCTCTCTGGATCCATAAGTATCCAGCAGAGCTTCCTGTAGGTTAGTTACACTATCCCATTTCCTTCTTTTCTTAAAGTAGCCACATACAAATGCTCTTGGCAGGCTGAAGCACTGATTGAAAAGTAACATTGGTTACTTATTCTAATTTTGCATTTGCCTGGTGTAAAATATACACTACACGCACCATGTACTATACGAAGATTTTCAGTTACCTCTTCCAATACTTTGCTGGTACATATTGTATCCACATTTGTGGATCCATTTGAAGGATGTGTTTTTAGAGGTTGTATATTTTATAATCAGTCTAGTGAATAAATTGCTGAAAAATTATTAAAAAGTGTTATTTGTTTTCTTTTGTATCATACTGAACCTAACTCTTCTCTAATGCTTTACAAACTTATACTGCCAAAACCTCTCCATAATAAACCACTCCCAATATCGAGACAAGTGCAAAGTATGGGAAAAGGAGGAATTTTATATACCTTCAAGTATTTAGCTGTGTGATACAAAATTATGTGTTGGTCCTACCTGAAAACAGAAACTACAGAAAGCACCACTGCTACAAAAAGTTTGAAGTCACAAGCTGGGCTTCCTTTTACGCTCTTCAACATGACTCAGCAGTTGGTTGTCAGAGCTTGCCATGTACTTTTAGGGTTCAAGATGATGAAATTCAACAACTGGAAAGACAGCACTACCCTCTTGTTTCCAGACAACAGTTTTGTCAATCATGCCACTGTCAAATACTGTTATCAGAGTGCTGGGGGGAAGAGGAGAGGATGCAGTTTTGTGTTAAGGCATGTTACACCTAGGATGCTTCTGGAAAGTGCTTGCATGGCCCCACTCGCAGCACAACTCCCTATAAGGTACAAAGTCAGCTTTGTGATGCCCATCACTACCTAGTTATTATCGTTTCTGTAATTAACTGCACAAGCGTATCAGTCAGGTGGTTACTGGTATTTACTTCCAATTGGGTTTTGTTTGTTTTCTTTGGCTTTAGTAACTTGTACTTATGCACTTTATGGAAGCTGACCAGCTAGAGGCATAAGCTAAAGTCAGGTCCAGACAGGCATAGTCTAAAAATGCACTAAAAGGAAAGCTATTGTGTTGAAGAACAACCAGGGAAGTTATTAGGAAAAATGCAACTACCATGATAGAAAATTTAAACATTTAATATATTTTTAAATAAGATTTTAAGACAATATATAAATATAAGGAGGCATTTAAGCAATTTGTTCTTCTAGTGATTTACCACAAGACATCATACATTCTAAGGCAGCAACTAGACATGACTTGGCCCAAAAGAGAGCCCTGTGCCTATGTTCTTAATTCAGGCTGTCTTTCAAACTGAACCTCTTGATTACTACATAATTTTCCTTCAAAGTTTAGGACAGTGTCTTATAGATTAGAGTTCTGAACCAAACTAAGATTGTGATGAGACAGGGATCCTTAATCACCCTTTAAGGGGCCCTTAAGCACTTTTAAGGTACATAGAAATACTTGGCATGTAAATGCTTTAGAAATTCAGATTTAAAACTGAACACATCAAATTGGAATTGACACCCATAGTACACCACTGAAAAGCAAGATCTTCCATTCAGATATATTTTGTGGCTCTGGATCCACTGTCGTGCAAAGCATTAATACATCTGGGATGGCATCTCAAAGCTTTGCAGTAGAGTATAAGTGACTATCCAAGTGTCATTGGGGATAGTAGTGAAGCTGCACAATTGAGGTTTCATATGTGTTTGGCATTTTGTTTTTTGATGAAGGGATATGTTCATAAATAACACTCTGGCGGCTCTGCTGATCCAAGAGAAATAACCACCACAGGTACCTGAACACAAGCAGACCTGTAGGACTGAGAATGTCTGGTACACAGAATACTACAGCCCAGATCCCCAATCTAAGAGAAGGAAAATCATGTGACTGAGATAGTTGAAAGCATAAGGTCTAAGACCCAATGAGCACAATTAGAGAGGCTAGAGTGCCATGGCCTGAATCATGACAGCTATGTATCAGCATTTTTTCCAATAAAACATTTGTATGCTAGATTACCTTTTCTCCTTAGGACACCTTCATTTAATCATCCCTTTAGGTTTTTAAGTGATCACCATTTAAGGTTGGGGGTGTTTCTGGAAAATTGTGAATATACAGGATGTGATACAGCAACTGCAACCCAGTTAGTTTACTCAATCCAGACCGCATGGAAGTGGATGCAATGGTACACATGTCAATGGAGTTATGCCCAGTATGCTATGGTTGACTTTGGCTTGAAGAACACAGCTTTATCTTCCATTTATATAAACCAGTGGATCAACTCAGAAGATAAATGATGTTTAATATTGTCTGATAACCAAGAGCAGTTATCAAAAATTAACAACTTTTGGTATTTTTACTTTTGGTTTTTGTGTTCTAGGGTTCTCTAGAATCTCTTCATAATCTGCACTCATTCCATAGGACCATCGACCAACTGTTATTGCTTGATCTGTGGAGCAAGAGAGGCGAAAAAGATCATGTAAAATTCTTTCTTGCTGTAGTCTAGATTTTCACTTTGACCATCTTTGTGGCTAAACCACTGGGCCACATCTTATCAATCAGGAGGTCTTGAATTTTAATTCTCCCTGCACACTGAGAACAAGTATATGATAAAGACATATACATTTAGTAGTGATGGATGAAAATGTGCAAGATCCTGGTGAAACCGGCTGAATTTGATACTGAAATGGACAGCAGCTTAGATCTATTCCTCCTGAACAGTTTAATATTTGCTACTAGGAAAGTGCATTTTTCCAGCCCTCTTTATAGCTCTCACCATTACAACAGAATAATTTGTCTTTATATTTTAAAATTTTGACACCTAAGATATATTTCCTTAAATCTTACCTGAGTTCTTGTATTCTGGACAATCTTTTTTAAAGTGTTCCACAGAGCCACAAAGCCTGCAGCAGCCTCCTATTAAGAAAGGAATATGCAAAACTATTTCTTAACAGCTGGAAATAATATTTGCTTTAGCTTTATGCATAGTTTAATCATTTGTCAACATGTTATAAAGACTGATTTTCACTTGAAACAAGAAAATTTAGATGTTAAAAACAAATTCAAAATATATACCTTTACAAGGTATAGCACAAATTAAGATAAAAATTCTTTCTACGGACTAATCCAGAGGCCTTTCATAAACTAAAATTCGTAAGTAAGGACTTGTAATTTGATCTCTATGCCTCAGTTTCCTCTCTCTTACATAGGGTTAATTATATTTACTTTCATTTGTAAAGGCTCATACTCAAAATATACTGAGTATTTGAATTATATTTTCCTAGAAATACTGAGGAGTACCTATTTGAAATTCTGACCCTCTTTACTTAGGAATAAGTTTTGTTCTAAGACACCAGCATACACCAATTACTTCTGAAGTTAATGGGAGTTGCATAGGAATGTCTGAGGACCAAATCTGACCTTTAAAATGGCAACATCTTCTTGGAGACCTCGCTGATTCAAAAAAGATTAAAAGTAATTTTAAATACATCTGAGTCCTCCTACTTATCAAAAATAGAAAACATTGTAAAAGCTGAGATAAGTTGCTGTGTGAAAGATCCAAAAAACTAGTTGATTAAACTGAAAAATGAAACTTAAATATACAAAAAAAGGAATTATCAAATTTAAAAAAAGATTTAATTTCAATCCCTTTCTTACATTAAACATTTTCAAACGGAAACATGATTTGAGTTTATCACTTTTCCAGAATAAAGGTTTCACTAAGAACTTTACAATTACCAGTGTGCCTAGGGAGTGCATGTTTCAGATCTGTGTGATGTTGTCACAGGACGCATGAATTGCACTCCATAAGCACAAACTAAAGGCAGAGTGTCTGCCTTTACTTAGATTTCCTTGTTCTTTTGCAGTGCCATCACATCACATACAATTTGGCTGTGTCTAGACTGGCCAGTTTTTCCAGAAAATCAGCTGCTTTTCTGGAAAAAACTTGCCAGCTGTCTACACTGGCCACTTGAATTACCACAAAAGCACTGACTTCCTACTGTAAGAAATCGGTGCTTCTTCCGGAAATACTATTCTGCTCCTGTTCAGGCAAAAGTCCCTTTTGCGCAAAGCTTTTGCGCAAAAGGGCCAGCGTAGACAGTTCAGATGTGTTTTCCGCAAAACACGCCATTTTCGCGATCAGGGCTTATTTGTGGAAAAGCGCTTCTAGATTGGCACGGACACTTTTCCGCAAAAAGTGCTTTTGCGGAAAAGTGTCCGTGCCAATCTAGACGCTCTGTTCCGAAAATGCTTTTAACGGAAAACTTTTCCATTAAAAGCATTTCCAGAAAATCATGCCAATCTAGACGCAGCCTTTTAGTCCAATAACAACTTCTGTTTGGCTAACACTCATGGACTATCTGAAGAGACTTGGGAATACACCATATAATGGGGGGAACTGAACAGCTCATTTAGCATTTAAAAATGACTCTGTCTCTTTAACCAAAAGAGCCTTTACAACTTCCTCCCCACAGGTTTAAGGTGTATCCCTTTCTCCATGTGTATCTTTCAATGTTGTGCATTTAAATACAATGAATCTTTTTGCTCATAGGACCATTGGACATTTCAAATTAAATTTAGCTCCCATGTTCTCCTACTCATTCTGCTGATGCTCAGTCACTTGAAGACATACACTAGACACTCTAGAGTTGCCATATATTTTGTGTAGATAAAAGTACAGACAAGAAACTCTATTCACTACATTGTCTAGTTAGTACCTGGCAGCTGTTACCTTGTTCTTTGCTACATTTAACTACCCTTATAAGAGGGCAAATGTTTGGTTTACAGCAATAATGATACTTACCTTCAGCATATAGGCCTTTAGGATTATCTGGACATGACCTTGACAGATGCCCCATCTCGCCACAAATAAAACATTTTGCATATGGAAATTCCCCTGTAAGATTTCAATGTTCTTCAATTAAGATGCATATTTAACCTACGCAACAAAGTTATAGATAATATCACAGTGATTTTACAAAAAGGAAATCAACACTGTAGTTATGTGGAACTACTTCAACAGGTAATGCATGCCCTCAAAACTGTTAAACTTTGGGTGTGTCTAGACTACTGAGTTTTGTCGACAAAAGTGGACTTTTGTCGACAAAACTATACCAGCGTCTACACTACCGCTGAGTTCTGTCGACAGAACTCAGCAGTTTTGTCGATGCTGGTATACCTCATTTTACGAGGCATAACACCTTCTGTCGACAGAGTTCTGTCGACAGAAGGTGTTATTGCCTGTAGGGTTGCGTCTAGACTACAGGGTTCTGTCGACAAAGCAGCTTGCTTTGTCGACAGAACTCAAAGAGCATCCAGACACATTGTCGACAGAAGTTTTGTCGACAGATACTGTCGACAAAACCCGGTAGTCTAGACGTACCCTTACTGACTAAAAATGAAACTTTCCGTGATCAACAAACCCATACAAAAGCTCCTTCTTTAAAAGAGAAAAGCAGATGTTAAAAAACATACCAAGAGCTGGATCAACTTTTGCTCTACACTTCGTGATTTCATGCTCTGTAGATCCACATCGGTAACAGATTCCAGTACCCATATCCTGACTTTTAAGTGCAGCTGGGCAGTCAGCAAGTCCATGGCCAGGCTTCCTGCAGTGGAAACATACCTTGGAAAATAAAATGCGAGTTACTAAATTAACCAGGGAAACTCATTACATGTTTTGCTGTGTATTTTTATAGCCAGAAATATTTTAAAAGGATACATTTATTGCTAACACCATACAATTAGCATTTATGTCAAACAGAATTTTCTTTTTTCTAAAACTGCTTTTTATAGAGAACACCAGAAACGTTTACACTTTGGAATCAAGGTAAGTTTTGGCCCTTACATCTTTTAAAATAAGGTCACACAAATGCCCAATAAGACCTATAATGATCTCAAGGTCTAAAATTAAATAAGTGGCACTGAAAGCAAGACCACAAAATCCCAGTCTAATAAGCACCTTATGAATCTTAGACCAGAGACCTTAAGGGAAAAATTCCTAGAATATAATGGGGATAAATCCAAGTTACCTAGTAAACTACAAAATAGTTGCCACAGGTCCACACCTACAACCAGTGAGATGATTAATCTCCAATATTATAGGCACCGTTCACCCATCTATAAGATTACACAAAAATGTATGTAGGAATTGCATATTACACCTTTACTGATCAACATTTAATCATTACAGAAGGAGCGCATCCTCTCAAAAAGTAAATTTGGTACATTTTGAAGATTCCAAATAGGGGATAATCTGAACATTAGTTACACTAGAATTCTGCAGACTATAAGACTTCCCTACAAATATTTGCTTGTTGAAAAAGCAGTGTTTTTTACTTGTATTACTTTTACCTTACTCTTAGAATACATTTATGTTGTTTAAAAAAAGAAAACAAAAATTTGGGCTGTTCAGGAAAATTGGTAATGGAAAAATTCCATATTTCTAGGTCAAATTCAAGACAAGTTTATACAACTGACTGCTACATAGCTAGTAGGTAAGAAACTGGTAATAGAACAAAGATGATAAAAGGCAAAATAGGACATAGATCTCACCATGGTGTTTTTCTTCATCTCTTGTCTCTTTAATCTTCTTCCCTCCCGACGCTTGTCTTTCTTGAGGGCTGTTGCTACTTCTTCCTTCACCTCATGGCTGTCAGCTGCTCTCACCTTTCCATTATGTAATACCTGTGAGTTCTGTTTTAAGTATTCCATGAATCCATTAACATCTTCATTCAAATAGTCCTTTTTCTTTTTATTCTTCTTCTTCACTTGATCATTCTTTAAAGAATGAGTATTTGAATAATTTTGCTGTTTATTCCTCACTGTTCCACTGGTAGATCCATTTTTCAGATCTTCCCATGGAGTAGCATCCAGAGGCTTTTTGCTATGTGTGATATTTGTACGGGCCCACCGGGTCATGATTTCTTCTGGAATATCTACCAGCCTTTAAAACAAATGCTGAAGGTCACACTTGTTCTTTTGAGCAGGGTACATGACTTTTTATCAGCTTGCACAAAATTTAGTACAATAGGGCTGAATTTAAATTTGGGATAGAGGCTATTGAGAAGCACTACTCTAAAAATTTTTAAAATAAAATCATACAGAATCACCTCAAAAGTCATCAACCAGATAAAAACAAAATTCTACATTTGTATCTCAGCTTGAGAAGTCTCTTTTCTCAAGCATCAGGGACCACTAGATTACTATTCTACTGAGTGGGTGAAGCTAAGCCACCACATTTTTATATAATCTATACTTTTTTTTCAGTCAACTTTGGGCGAGATCTATGCTTAAAATGTAGCTTGACCTACCTACATTGTCCAGAGCTGTGAAAATTTTTGCACATTTAGTGCCACAGATAGGTTGGTCTAAATGCTGGTGTACACACAGATGAACCAACAGCATGGCTTTTTCAGGGACTTAGATACAGTCTATGCAAGAGGTGAATTAACTATAACAGGAAACCCCCTCCCATAGTCATAGGAGTTTTCTAGGCTTCTGCAGCATGGCTCCAGGATTGTGGCTGTGTCACTACTGCATAACCCTGGCCTACAGTACTATGTTTACAAGGGAGCTAGGCCCACACTCATTAGAGACACCAGCCTCAAGACTGTAGTAGGGATGTTAAATTATGAGTAATCAGCTAATCCAGTAGTCGATAGAATTTCCACTGACTACTCCATTAGTCAAAAAGGGAGGAAACTGCAGAGCTGCAGCAGGGTTAGCTCCCAGCCTGGGAGCTAACCCTGCTGCGGCTCTGCCTTTTAAATGTATTAAGAGCCATCTACATCTTATTACATCTAAAAGGCAGAGGCATAGCAGGGGACCCAGGTGCGAGACAGGAATCAGGTCCTTCCCCCCTCCCCCCCCATACATTTTAAAAAGCAGAGGTGCAGGGGAGGGGAGGGGGGGGGGAGGAGAGGAGAACTGGCCATGAGCCAGGAATCAGCTGATTCCTGGTTCCCTCCTGGTCCTCACCACTGCACTTCTACCTCTCCTGCCTCCCAGATGTTCTGGTAGGAATCAGCTTTTAAGTTGGCTCCCCCCAGCACCTGCTCCTGTTCCTCCCTTGCTGCCTCTATCAGAGAGAGGTAGCAAGGGGTGGGGGAAGCGACTAGTTGAGTCACTACTCAACTACCTGATAAGCATATGCTTATCAAGCAGTCAACTGGTTGTTCACATCCCTAGACTGAAGCCCCGCTCTTCACTCTGTCCATGCTTTGTTACTCTGTCCCATTCTGCCTTTCCTCCCCAAGGCCCACTCCTCTCCTTTCCTTTCCCCACTGTGAACAGTGTCTCTGGGACCACATGGGGAAGACACTGAGCAGGGGCAGGGCCTCGGGTCCACAAAAGATAAATCTAGTTCTGCTGGCCTAACGCACTAGTGTAGTCCCCACTCCCCAGCACACTCCTCCCCAGCCTGCAGACAGGGCTCTGAACATGGAACTGCTTGCCAGAAGACAGAGCATTGGCACTGCCACCAGCCTACCCAGTCCCACATGCACGGATTCCTCTCCAGGAGTTACATAAGGTACTGGACCCACCCTCGTGATAGGGAGGAAAGCAACCTCATCAGCAAGATTATCAGTGCCTCACACCCTTCCCTGCACCAGAGGGATGCAAAGCACAGCAGACCTGAGGCAGTCATGGGGGGAAGGTAACCCACAGCCACCATACACCCAGGACCCCACAAACACTCAGCATGGAATGAATTGGTATGATTCCATAGCTGTGCAAAGATTTGACCACACAGAACATGGGGGTTCAGCCAGTGTAAAACAAAACCATTGAGGCAGGAGGAGCATATTTCCTGAAAGGAAAATGGGACACTGTGCAGGGCTGGCTCAAGTTGTTTCCCTCCCAGCACAGTTCTAGCCTGTGCCACTGACCTAAGCCCCCTTCCCTACATGGGAGATAGGCAGAGCTCAGCCAAACAGCAAAGGACATAATTAGACTGGCCACCAGCACAACAGAGACCCAGAGGCAAACGGGGAGAAATAGCGTCTGACCCCATTGCAAACACTACCCAACATGCTTCTCTGCACTTCCCATCACTCACCAGAAGTGGAGCTGTGCCAGTTGTGGGTGGGCTAGGGGCTGTTTTAACCTAGACTGAGTGACTTAAGGTAGGCCTACACAAATCACCAGAGGTGCACTGCCAGGTCCCGTGCTGCTAGACCAGAAGCCTCCAGTCCTGACACCACAGTGGCCAGTCTCAAAGGCACCTGGCAGTGCACCCCAAACTTGGTGCTCCTGAGGAGGTCTCAATGCAGGATCCTTTGTCCTGAAATCAGAAGATTTGAAGTTGGCCTGTTTGGACCAGGGGGATAGGATGTGTTGTCCAGCAGGGCTATAAGTAGTTGTTACAGGGAGCTGGGAAAGCAGCAGCCATGCTGGCTCCTCTTGTTCACGTCCGTCAGCTTCATGTGGTACAGGCTATGGTTTAGGACTTAGAGCTTTGTCTGCAAATTTAGCATAATTAAACTGGAGAGAGCAAGGAGCGATCCAGCATACAAAAGTCAATGTTTACTAAATTCAGCAGACAGCA